ACAGGCACACCTACACACTCCCCAAAGGTGTGCAGGTGTGTGCCAGATCCCAGCCCACCTCTTCCCCGGGCGATGCTGCCAGTCCTGTCCTGTCAGGCAGATTCAGGTCTGCAGCAGCCTGGCTCTCTCCGTTGCCCTGCCTGGCTCTATCGCTAACCCCACTGAGCTCTTTGGTGTCCCGGCAATTCCTGCTTTCCAATCACCACGTCCCAGCTGCTGCCTTGGGATGGGCTCAGCCAGGAATTTTGCTCCTTGTTTTCACAGCATAGAAGCTGTTTTGCCTTTGCTTTTCGATTAAGCCCAGCTCTAGCAATAAAGCAGAGTGTCCAGAGATAACATCACATTCCCTGTGCACCAGCTGCTCTCGTGCACCCTCCCAGTTGCACACTATAAACCCCATCTCTAGAGGTACTTGAATATATTCAAAGCAAGAGGAGCTGCTTGAAAGTCACTCAGGTATGACTCTCAACTCTTCATGAAGAACCACAGATGATCACGCTGGGGTTTAAAGCAAACCCCACGGAGAGGAACATGGCTAATATTTCTCCTCCTCACAAGTGGATTAATCTTGTCACGGCTGGCTCTCTGGGAGCATCTGAAGGGAAAAGCAAGAACCTGGATGCACTCACACAGCTGTGCCTCTGCAGACTGTGACTGGGGACAGAGGTCCTGCTGCTGAGCTGGGGTAGGTGGAAAAGTGGTTTTTCCATGGAAGCGCAGCTGAGCAGAGAGCAGCTGCTGCCATGTGCCTTGCAGAGGCTCACATGGCTCTGCCCGGCAGGAGCGCTGAGCCTTTTCCCTGTGCGCTGCGCAGCTAACGAGCGCAGCTTGGCTGTCAGATGTTTGCAGTAATGGAAACAAGCAAACAAACCCATTCATGGAACAAATGAGAATAACAGCTAAATCGGAGGCAGTCGCTACCTGATCACAAACAGCCTGCCAGCTGAGGAGGTGAAATCTAAACTGCTGGAGAAGCTGTTATTCTCATAGCACCCAGGCACCGGTGAAGCCTGCGGACCAGCCAGGCGCCTGCGGCGTGGAGGGGGTGGTGAGAGCATGCACGCTGCTGGAGGGCAGCGGAGGGTGTTTCAGGAGGGGTCAGCAGGGTGGAGGGCAGGAGAGCAGGGCTCCGTCTGGGCATGGAGATGCACATGGTTCCCCTCACTTGAGAAACCAGATAGGAAACTGCATCCTCAACTCTACCAGAGTCAGTGGAAGAACATCGTGGTCTCTGGCCCTGCATGCCTCCCTGCTTCCCAAGCCGGGACTCCTAATGGCTGCAGACTGTCTCATAGCCAGAGCTTGACCTTTCCAGCACCAATTAGCTGGGAGAGGAGCCATGCAGCTGATGAGCACATGAAGGGGTTTATCTCACCCGGCAGGCATGGACACTGACTATAAAATCCTTGGCAAAGACAGCAGCTCAGTATTGATCTTGGGAAGGCCAGGTGCTCCATTGCATAAAAATCACATAGAGAAACATTCGTTGCTCCCATCTGACTCCTGCTGCTGCTTAGGGCCCAGTGTCCGTGAGACCGACAACTCTCCATGCCTAGCGTGGCGGAGGGCCCTGATCATGCAATAGGTGACATTTGTTGCACCCAAGGTTGTCAACAGTGAGAGACTGGCATCCCCTTGGGGGTCTCTGCTCTGCCCCCGCAGAGCCTAATGGGAGGGCGCCAGGCTGCAGTGCCGATGTGACCAGCAATCATAGCAGCCTGGCCAGGGGGAAGATGGGCTTAGTTGAAAAGAAAAGGGATATATCCTGATTTCCACAGGTTGCAGTGGAAATGCTGGAGAACAGGGGAGATGATAATGCTATCAGAGAGACCTTGACAGATACAGTAGCTCCACTGAGACCAAAGGGAAGGTCTGTTTATTTTTCTTGATACAAAGTTTGCAGGAATGAGGCATTGGGAAACGCTCTCAGTATCTGACCAGTTTTCTTTCACATAAACTCTGCAGTGTCTGGAGCATCTGAACTTTCAGAAGGGTCAGTGTAGAGGTAAAAAAGGATCTCAGCATCACAGCAGAGAGTCCCAGCTGGGGACAGGGCTGGGGGAGGCCACGGGCTGGCGGGGCGGCAGCGCCTGGCTCTCCGGCTGCGACAGTGGATACCTGTGGGACAGTCCTGGGGAAGCCACCAGCTGCAGAGGATTTACAGAACTGTCCCCAGTCTGGCCCCTCGTGCTCGGGAGATTTGAACTGGTTACTTTTCTGATTCCACCTACTTACAGCCAAGCATGGTTAGTGCTGCTAAAACCGCTGTACGTGGGATTAAGAGTGGATAATTAGCCCCGAGCTTTTCTGCTGTCTGTACCTGCAGGAGGCTGGAACAAAATTCTGAGTCAGAAAAAACACCATTTAGAAAACGTACCAGGCCTGGGCAGAATAATCAGTCGCTGGTGACGACTATTTATCTTGCCACGTCAGTGATGTCTCCCACTGTAACATCCTCACTGCCTGGAGCAGGGTTTGCAGGGAAAGGGCATCCTGTAAATCTCGCAGGCACGTTGCTCCAGTGGGAGATATTGTCCTTCTCATTTCACAGGCTGGAGAGATGCCTTGAGCTGTAACGTGGCAGCCAGCAGAAATATGGCAGAGAGGCACAGTTTCACCGCAGAGCACCTTTGCTGTAGTGCAGGGAATTGATGTTTCCTTCCTGGCTTAGCCCTGGCTCAGCCCTGGCTCCACATCTGCCACGTAGCAATCCCCACCGCAACCATTTTAAACAAAGCTTTAATTTGTGATTCTGTCCAGGCTGATAATCCCCACACTGGCACATCCAGAAGAAATGAGTCTTGTACCATGGCAGGCTGTAATAACATATCATAATATTTCTTCCCTTGGGAAATCCTGCCAAGGGCACCAGAGATGTCTTGTGAACAAGGATGAATGAAGACCTGCAATCCACCTGTGAAGCAGAGCAGATATCTTCCTATTTTGTAGACAAGGTAAGGGGCACACAAAGGTTCCCAGGAGCTCAGGAAGGTCACTGAGCAGGGAATAAAACCCAGGAGTCCTAGCTCCCAGTCTCCAGGTTTAATTGCTAAATAGAGCAGGCTCATAATTTCAGTGAGCTGCCATTGAGGATTTGTCCCCATGCTTTCCATGGATGATGAGGCAGTTAGACAGAGCCACTACTATGTAGTAGCTTAAGCATCAAAAGAAAAAGGAGAGAGGTTTACAGGAGCATGCCTTAATTCACATTTGCCTGTCAGCTTGGAGCATGTACATGTTCAGATATCACAACTCAAGTAACTGATAACCACTCGTTTATTAATCTCTGGTAACTCAATTCACTCTCTCAGCCCTAAGTGCTGAACAGAGACGATGCCCTCAGGAGCTGGAGATCAATTTAAATTTTCAGAAGCCTTAGTCCCTGACTTGCTCCATAGTGCCAGCGCTCCTTATAATAACTGTTGAGCAGATTTTCTGTCACATAACTGATCCTGGCTCCCTTTCTAGCAGCCTTGGCTGTCACATTCTCCCGTGCTGGAGAAAGAGTCTTTAATAGCCATGCCATGAGCCATGCAGGAGGGCACATATACGCCTGGAGAAGTCTGGGATTTGCACTGTGGAAAGCTCCCACCCCCCTTTCACACCAACGCTGAAGTCCTCTGGCTACTGGTGCTTTCATGCAGCATTGTCTGGAGGGGAGTAGGGACTCTGGGGCTCCACGTCTTGCTTCTTGCTCATCCTTGTTGCTGGGTGGTGCTCAGACACACTGGGCAAAGCTCCCTGGTAAGTGGCAGTTCCAGCAAAGGGCTTATCTTCAAACTAGACTGAAGAGATGGGGAAACCAAGCCACCAAGTTAGAGCAGGACGTGGCCCAGGTCACGCAGCCAGCCCAGCAGGGATGGGACTCAAACTGAGTTTATTAACTCCCTGTTTAATGGCCCTGATGCAAAACCTGATTGCTGCCTGCTCCGTGTGGTCTCATTGCAGCTGACTCCGAGTACCCCCCAGCTGGCTGCACTTCAGCTGCCTGCCTGGACTGGGACCAACCCTCCCAGTTCCACCTCACTGAGAATTAAGAGCCCCGAAATGAATGTGGCAGCAGCCCAGCACTGCTGACCCAGGAGGCTCCGCTCCATTAGCCCCAAAACATTGCTGACCATGAATGCTTTAATTCTGGCATTGCAGGTTCTGCTTCTCAATAAAAGCAAAAAGCAATTTATGAGAGCACAGCCAATAACATGAAACTCTTATCACAGCTGGTTAAGATCGGTTGGCAGCTGTACCCTGTGGACTGATTTCAGGAAATTATTTCAGGAAAGCTGTTGTGTCCTGAAAGCAGAGGGCCTGGCTGGGAGAGGGACCCCGACACGTGCAAACGTCCTACCCTGCAGCCACAAAGCTGGAAACCAGCTGTAAAGTGGATGTGATCATCACTCTTCTCTCCTAGCCTGCTGCAGCTCATGTCCTGGAGGGCCTGGACGGTCTCCTTCTCTGTATTTCAGCAGTTTCAGCCCACCAAGAACCTGCTGTGACCTGGAGATAAATGACAGGAGCTGCTGAGACTGGGGATACAATGGGAGGGAGTGCTGGGGTGCGCCAAAGTATCCTATTGATACCTGACTGCTGGGACAGGCAAGAAAAAAGGAGAGGTGCACTGGTCAGTTGAAACATTTTCACTTTTATTCAGACACCGTACGGTTACAAACCTGCAGCCCCCCCTGCTCCCCAGCCTGCCCCACACAGCTTCGCCGCCGCTGCTGCCCCTCCTGCCTCGCAGACGTCCTGCCCTGGCCGGCGAAGCCCCTGGCCCTGCGGGGTCTCCTGCTGCAGAGCACTTCTGATGGCCCAGCCAAGGGCAATGCCATTTCAACGCTTTTCCTCCAGGTACAGTGACATATCTGACGTCCTCGTATTTAAGCCTGGCTGCCTGGCAGTCTGAGGCATTTGCAAAGAGTCCCTCTTTTGCAAGTCTTGAGGAAACCTCTGTTTCTCAGAACTGCTTTGCAGGATCAATGAAGAGTGAAATTCTTAGGCGTGAGCTACCGAGGGTGGGCAAGGTACCTCCTGAGGATCCTCTGGAGCAAGTTTTTCCTCGGCATCCCAGCGGGGAGCTCCAGGTTGGGGTTGCTCCTCTGATAGCCTGCCTCCAGGAGCCTCCTTTTTCTCTTCTCCGCCTCTTTGCCTTCCAGCACATCCATTATCTGGATGTCTCTGAGTGGGCTGGCACATATCCTGGGCAGGGGAAGCCCTGCTGGAGTCCTGTAGGCCTGGCTGCCTCTGCCATCCTTGTGACCGGTGCCATGGGGTCTCAGCTGCTTGTGGTCCCTCAGGCTTCCACCCATCCTGGAGCAGCCACCTTCCCCAGCAACAGGCATCCCGGGGCGTCTGCAGCATCCCAGCTCCTCCTGGGAACTGGCACTTATCTCATCAGCAAGACCTTGAGGATAATCTGAGCCTGAGTGAAAAAACAACGCCTCTTCACTGGTCACCTGTGGGCTCTGCCCCAGGGTGACAAAGCCATATGGGGTGGTGACCTTGGGGAGATGAGGCAGGGACAGAGCTGCCCGAGCAGTGGGGTCTGGGATAGCCTGCACAGCGGCAGCAAGCCCAGCATTAGAGTAGGACGAGCTAGAGCCGGGCACATCGTGCTCATCCTCCACTGCTAGATCCGAGTCGCTCCTCCAAGCCATCCCCACTGGCTGCCCCTTCCCCTTGCCTGAGCGCCTGTGCTTCTTGCAGATGTCCAGAGAGGGGATAGTAAACTGCGGGATGCGGTCAGGGGTCACCATGTGGAGGAAGATGTCCCTGGAGCTCTTGCCTTGGAGTGCACGGGGACAGAGCATCCCCTCCCCGAGCGACATGGTGGGACTGACGGGGCTCCCTGGAGCAGCGCTGTGTATTTATGCTCTGCAGCCAGCCCTGATTGCTCTCCGCGCGGTGACGCACTGTGACGACGGCTGCCAGGTCCCTGCACCTGCTCCCTCCGGACCAGCAGCAATTTGTCACCCACCCAGGCATGGAGAGACAGACAGAGGGGGACAGGCGAGGAGACACTCGTCCCCAACCTCTGCTCCTGCCCTCCTGCTCACGTGCAGGGCCACCAGTGCCGGCCAGCTCCCATCACCCATGAAATGGGAACAGGGAGGGCCCTGAGGAGAAGCAGAGCTGGATGGGTGGTGTGAGCCGGGGCTGCAGCACCCAGGGCGGGAGGGAGTCGCGCGCTGGGAGCAAGAGCAATTGCAGCAAGCAATGGCCTGTGCAGGATGAGTCACCGTCCACAGGCATCAGGTGGAGCTGAGCGGAAGGGGCAACCGGAGCTGAGAGCGGGAGACAAACACTTCAGCTCTGTCTAGCAACACTCCTGTCAGGAAAAATCTCCACCTCGGCCCACGCAATTACCTGTAGAAATCAGTAATTTCAACCACTGGGGCCCCCACGTCCTTCCTCCCATCTCTGCTGTCGCTAGGGCTGCATGCTGGCATTCGGTCTCTCAGCGGAGCCTCAGCCAAAGGCTGCTTTGCCTTTTCCCCCTCTGCAGCCGGGCAGCAGCAGAGCTGCAGAGCCGGGTTGCCCTGCCACCCTCCCCTTGGCTAAGGAAGCCTCCTCCGCTAGCAGGTGGATAACGGCTGCTTTATGTCGGTTCCTGCTCTGCAAATGACGCAGAGAGAAAAAGCAGCTCTGTTTCTCTGTGGTGCAGGGTCTGTCCCTGCAGCATTGCAGCTGGCCTGTTAAAACGTGCTACTTTTTCATCCTGTCCCGCACTGGGAGCAGGAACAGGAGCAAGGCCAGGCTTGTTTTGGCACAAAGAGGGGTTGGGAGCCTACACAACCCCAGGAGACCACCTCAGAGCATCATAAACAGCCACGTCCCAGCTCAACTGAGGGGGGCTCACATCTGTCCCCCAAATGCCTGGCCAGTGGCAGGGCTACAAGCAAGGTCTGCGGTTGCTGGGTGTGGGTCCCCATCTCTCTGCCTCTGTCTGATGGTTCAGCTGGACAGAGCAGGGAGGCGAGTGCCCCGTCATCCCAGCTCTGTGCCCTTCACCGAGGGCAATGCCCACACGCCATACCCGCTCCCCGGGCCTCACCAGCGTTTGCAGCAGTAACTTGCAACAGGGTAAAGTGACACCCAAACACTAAATGCCCTTCCCCGCTCCAAAACCACCTGCTTGGTAGAAGTATCAGCTGAAAATCCCTCCTAACAGTCATGAAGCCTGAATCAGTCAGCAACATGACCCCAGCCCATCTACACATTGTGGTGCCTGGCTTGGCGAAGCGCAGAGCCGGGGGGAGGATTGGCGCTGAGCTGCACGCAGGGGTCGGCAGGTCCGTTGTCCATGAGATGCCCAGCGGAGCTGTCAGGTCTGCACAAAGTTAAAACCTTGGAGAGTGCCCAGAGCAGGGGCTGAGAGGATCTGCTGCAAAGCAGCTTCTGGAAGGTGCTTCTGGGGACTCAGCTAAGCCCATTTTATGAAGGGGAGAGTGTGTGCATGTGTGTTCATGTGCACACAGAACTGCTGGCTAATTGAATCAGGCTGTGGTTTCAAAGAACCAGGCTTAACTCCCTTCCTTTCACGTCTGGGAGCAAGGGGAGGGCATGGACCAGGAGGGATGCTGAGGGGCCTCCCCTCACCTGGGGTCTGGCTCCTCCCATCACGGCGGGGCTCAGTGGGGCAAGTTTTCTGACATCTCCTCACCCTCTGCCTTCAGCTATTTGCATCGGCACAGAGTGAGGGGAGATATCCCCAATCAGTCTTGGCTTGGCAAGCTACAACCCACAGGAGGGGACAGGCACCCCAAACTGAGAGAAAATAAACCCCTAATTGAGAATAATTAGCCCTTGAGCAAGGCACCAGGACCAGTGCTCATACTAGGGGAACCGCCATGGGAGGGCATTGGGCTGCCCCACTGATTAGTGAGGCCGGCAGCTCGTCAGTGCAATGAGAAGCAGCTGGCCCAGTAGCTACAAGTAGCTTGAGGGCTGCAGGCTGGGCTAAGCCAGGTTTTTGTCTGGTCTGGCTTGTAGGCTTCATGGAGCAGCAACTAAGGCCACACACCAGCCCAGAGCAGGTAGAGGTTCTCCAGGGTTGTTTGTGCTGCAGGCACTGTCAGAGCTGGCACGGAGGATGTCTGACCTTTCTTTCTCTGTCTAGGAGAGGCTGGTTACCTGCAAGGAGCCCTACTCCTTCTCTAGCAGGTTGTTGTGCCAGATCCTTCAGCTGAGTTTTGTCAAGTACCTGGTAGGTGATGCTCCTGCTGCTGGAGGAGTTTGAGGCCAAGGGGATGGGGTGATAAAGCCTTGAGACTGGCAGTTCCTTTGGTTTCTCTGCCAGATCATCCTCTCTGCTCTTTCAGTCTCTTCCCTCTGCCCTGCACTTAGTGTGTGCTCATCCTCTGCTTTTTCTCCCCATCCCAGCTTTTGCCCTCTACCTGATTTGCTCTTGCCTTGCTCCTCTTCTTGCAGCATTCATGTTTCTCTCCTTCTCTGGGCCAGGAGAGATGGGAGGCCTTTGGGGGCAAGGTCCTGTTTTACCTGGCTGAAGTTGGTCCCATCTCAACACCACACTGGGACAGAACAGGGTTTAAGGGTTTCACTGAGGACTTCAAATAGCTGGAAGTTCTCATATGACCTAATGTAGTTCTCTTGTTTGCAGCTGAAGATCCTTCAGAAAGCATTGGTCTGGATTGGATTTGTGGTCCCTGTGGAGACCATTATCAGCAAAGTCTACCCCACCCCGTCTCCCACCAGGCCTGGACGACTTGCCAAGAAGCGCCGGGGGAGACTAACCAGCCTCCTCCTCTCCATTGTCCCCACCAGGATCCAGAACATCCTGGGCTACCTGCCAGCAGACTGGGGCCAGAGCAACATGCCCAAGGGTAAGACCTGTGGCTTCGTGGAACACCTGAAGGCTTTGAAGCTAAGAGGCACACAGCAAGACATATAAAAAAAAAAAAAAAAAAAAAAAAAAAAAAAAAAACACCAAATAAGGTGTGGGGCTCCTGTGCTGAGTAGAAAGCTAGGAAACACAGATATACGGCGAGGTGTGTAAAAGAAGAAGAGCCAAAAAAAAAAAAAAAAAAAAAAAAAAAAAAAAAAAAAAAAAAAAAAAACACCACATTAGGTCTGGGGCTCCTGTGCTGAGTAGAAAGCTAGGAAACACAGATATATGTTTATTTTGTATGGGTTGTGACTGTGTCTTCTCTGAATCCCTGCAGAGATCCGAGAAGCTCTGATCAACCCATCTAGCAAAGCAAATAAGAGGAAGCGGGATGACGTAGCTCTGGAGGAGCAGGAGTCCTGGTTGGTGGTACTGGAGAGGGACCTGCCAGAGGATGACCCTGAAGACACTGTATATGAGGTATGACATTCTGGCTGCTGAGCAGAGTTGTTCCTCGGGGGCTGAGTAATTTGGAGATGACTGCATTTAGCCTCTGTGCTCCTGGTAGACTGGGAGCGTCATTGCACAGGTCAGCAGAGGAGCCTGCACAGGGAGCTGTAAAGAGGTTTTGTTTATTGTACACCCTTTGAGCGATGCAGGCTGTCCAAAGAGCACTTGAACATCACGTCATCAGTGTCTGAAAGGTGTGGGTGCTCCGCTTGTCCCGTAACACTGAAGTTTCCCTCTGGTTGATGTCCCTGCAAAGCATAATCTCTGTCACCCTTGGCTGTTTGGCTGTGGTTCCCAGTCCCATCAGGAATGGGGCTGGTGTGTCCTTCCTCAGTCTGCTTCTTTCCTCCCCAGCCCTCAGATGTGGAAACGGATAGTGAGGAGTACAAGTCCCAAAATGACACTGAGGCAGACCTGGAGTTTGAAGAGCAGGATGAGACCATTATGCTGAAGGAATCATCAGATCTCCAGGTAAGTGGGTCTGCCCCATGCTGGCTTTGTCCTGGGCACACTTGCAAATACTGGGCTGGAAGGATGTACTTCAGTCCTTCTTCCCTTGGCTGCAGAAGGAGAGGTGTCTGGGGTTACTCAACTACTCTGAATTTCATGAGATCACGCATGGGTCTTGTGCTACCCTTCCACAGAGCTGCAGTCTAACCATGCCCCTGTCTCTGCAGGTAGAGGACATACAACCTGCTGGGGTTAGTGATACCCCAGAGCTGCTGGCTGCAAGCACAGAGCTGGGACCAAAGGATCCAGCTGGGTCCAGCAGTGGGGAAGATGCTGCAGATGTTGATAGCAGTGATGGTGATGCCCAGAAGCCAGAAGCTGATGCAAGCAGTGGGGATGGCAGTGAGATGGCTGATGCAGATTGTGATGACAGCAGCAGTTTGTCACAGCATGGGGTAAGGACTCCCTTGAGCTGAGCCATAACCCTACCCACCCTCCTTTAGTGCAGAGCAGGGGAGGTGTCGCAAGCTCAGAGGTATTTCAGCCTGGGAGAATGTCCCCAGGCTCTGAGCTTTTGCAACATGGCTCTCCATTCACTTTGCTGCCAAGTGAGCTAGGAAAGGATTGTAGGGGCTCTAGTCCTTCTCCCTATGCAAGGAGACAACCTCAGTCCCCATATGTTGTTGAGATGGTGCTGGGTGGGTGCAGTGCTGTGGGCATCTTCACCCCTGAGTGACAGGACTGCCAAATGCCAGTTGAGCATCTTGTGCTGGTACCCAGAGCAGCCCCCTCTGAACCAGAGCCACTACCAGCAGGTCACCATGAGCCCTTCATGACTCACTGGCTTGGACACTTTGTGCTTTAAAACAGGGAGGGTTTGTAGAAGAGTCTTCATTGCTAGCAACTTCATATGGAGTCCTTCACTGCTCTAGACCCATCTGTTACCAAAGCACTGGTGGATACCCTCCCAATTCCCTTGAAGCTGGTGCTCAGCTGCCTGGCTTGCAGGGAAATGGAGGGTGA